TTATTATCATTATTATTATTATTATTATTATTATTATTATTATTACTATTATTATTATTATTATTAGTGTTGGACTTGCTCCACAAAAACACGCGCTCAGCGTCTGGAGGAGCTGTCCGTCGTGCTGAAAGCTCCTCTACACGGGGGGAGTGTAGCGAACGCGCAGACCATGTGGTCAGGTTAACTGCAGAGACGAGCGACAGGTACTCTGCTGCAGGCTGCACTGCTGCTTCAGAGTGACTGGGAGATGTAGCGGGAAACTTAGCAGGCGAGGAAAAGCCTGAGTCACCGGCAGACTGTGTCTCTGAAGTTGCTCTCACTTTTCCAGCAGACAGACTGAGCGCTGTGACTCGTCTCCCACTTTCCCAGCTCTCGTCTGTTTCTGTTTGAGTGGGCGCTGTTTCAGTAACTTCAGAGCCAGAGTATTCAGAGTATTTTGACGCGTTTTGGGGGACTGTGGTTTTGTTGGATGGGGACTGCTGGCAGGGCGTCTCTGAAATAATGCTGCTGAGGGCAATTTGGATGAGGCGCTTCCTCGGAGCTATGCCTCCCTCGGGTGTCGTAAATTCAGCTAAATATCCACCCCCCATTTCTTCTCTGTCTAAACAACCAGAGCCACCACTGGGACCCACCCTGTCCGCCCTGCTCTCTCTCCGGGTTTGACTGCTCTGCCCCTCGGTTCCTGGTGCTGATTTCCCCCGCTGAAGCTCATTATCAGTACTACACGAGAGCTTCAGTATCAGAAAAGCCAAACCATTATCCGGATAATTAGATAAATGAATGTGTTTGCTGCTGTGGCTCATCCCTCCCCCTCTCCCATCATTTACCTCTCTTTCCTTCCTTTCATGAATAACTCTGGCACGCTTAGACCTTGCTTCACAGAGAGGAGGTAACCAACAACCTAGATTGCTAATCTCCTCCAGCGCGCTACACCTGTATGCTTCCCTCCCCTCATCTCCCCCACCTCTCGGCCCTCCTCCATTCTCTCTAATGCACCCCGTCAAACTGCTATCGTCACCCCTCTCCCTGCTTCTGTTGGGATCGATAACATTATGCCAGCCCAAATGAGAACAATTACCAGCCCTCCTGTTCACGCTGACTGAGCCATCCCAGCGCTTCGCCTTGTTGCCGTTCCTGTAAACTAGCTGTTGCTGAATGTTGTGAAAATTACACACGCAATCCAATTGAGATGCCCGGACACAGTCTGGATTGTTGGTAAAAGTAGGTTTGAATGTGTTTGAAGCATCAGCTTGGGGTGAAATGTATCCAGAAAGAGAATGAATGCAGTGAGAGAAACCAGCTGGGACGAGGCCAGGTGAGGGAGTGCTGGCCACTGAGAGGGGTGGTTTGTAGGGGCACGGCCAGTGTGTCGGGGAGCACCATGCAGCAAGCAGTCTCTTCACCTCAGGAGCCCTCTCCCTCACCTCTCCCCCTCTCCTCCCTCCACTTCCGGGTGCCCCGTTCAGGCCAGAGGCGTGCACAAAGGCTCCGGCGGCACCACGTTTGGCGAGGTGTGGTCGCGACGCCGGCCACCGTTGCGCGCACGCTCTAGTCCTTTGTACTGCCCGTTTTTTACCGTTTTGAACCAGCGATGGGGTGGAAACAGGTGAAGTGGGAGGTGAAACAACGCCCTTTCTGCCCAGCCTTCCTCTTTCCACTCTCTCTCCTCCACCGACGCCATCGGAGTTCAACCTGCTCCTAATACCGGGGTGGAGTTGGAGAGTAGGTGGCGATGGAGCCGGAGGGCGGTCTGCAGTCTTCCAAAACGTCCCGACTCCTTTCGGTCCTTCTTTCCGCCTCCCCTTCGCTCCATAGCGCAGATATCCTCTCAGCGTCTCTCCCGCGCGCTGCACTCCCGAGCATCCCTCTCTCTGTATCCGCTCCACGGTCCACCTGCTTGGGCGTAGATTCCAGCTGCCCCTCGGCGACTCCCTTGCCTCCTCGCACTGGTGTTGCTGTTGCTGCTGGCTCACTTTACCGGCGTCTCGATAGCAGAGGCCCGGGATCCATCTGTTGGAAACTCCTCCTGTATTCACCGTCCCCGGGGTGAAGGCGAACAAAGGGCCGAGGAGAAGCAGGTGGAGTGCCAGAGATGAGAGCAGGAGCGGGGTAAAGCCCGGTAGCGGTGCAGCCATTTAGTCTTCTCCTTTCTCTGTGTCTCCCCTCCTTTCTCCCTCTTCCACCTCTGCCTATTCTCTCTTTCTCTCTCACGAGTGTGCCTTCCCTTCTCCCCCGTTACTTCTCTCTGTCCTTCGTTCCGGCTATGTGGCCAGTTCCAGGACCGCCAGCACCGCTCGACACCTTCCCCCAGGCTCCCCCGTCTCTCTGTCGGCCTGGAGAGTTGGCATCTACCCGCTGTGGTCCGTGGAGCTGGAGGTCTGAGCGTTAGGAGCGGCGCGGCAGCAGCATCTCTCCTCCCGTTCATTCACATCCAACATGGCTCACACACTCACACCGACTGACTGACTGGCTGGCTCACACACTAGCCTTCAGAGTGTGTGTGTGAGTCCGCATGTATGTGTGTGCGCGCTCCTCTAGCAGTGGCTGTGGCAAGCTACTATCCACCCATCCACACACACTCACACAATCACGCTCTCCTCCTCTCTCCTTTTCCACCCCTCCCCCTATTGCTTGCATCTCTATAGCCCCTCTCTCTCTCTCTCTGATAATGGTTGGCTCCGGTGCGCAGGGCTGTTACACAGCACCCGCGGCGGTCGCCATGTCCACAACTGGAATATGAGCTAGAAAAAAACCCTTATCTTACACAATCTCGCCGTCATCGCCGTATCAGCTGCCGTACTGTCGTCCTAACACATTTCCCCCCAGGTCTGTCACCTTTCACCTTCTAGGACTTCAGCAATGAAGTCCTAGAAATTAGACTTTGAATTTATTTCATTTTTCATGCTAAAAAAGAGAAATTTACACGAGCAGTTTTGGATGGATTATAGAAGAAAAAGTAATTTTTAGAAACTTTACTGCAAGGGGAAAGACTGTTCAGTCTAGTCCTTCTGTAATAAATAATTTTGCTTCATTGATATATTCGGGATGTTTCATTTCCTGGAAATACATCAATTTCTCCGTTTTTTCTTCTTCTCCATTTGCATGTGCTTTGGTCTCACCCGGTCAAGCAGCATCTTATATTCTAGTGCGGTGATGTAAGCTTAGGTTAGCTCAAGGAAAAGTGACGTCATCTCTCTCTTGCATCCACGAGTAATTCACAGATACACACACACACTGAGAGAGAGAGAGAGAGAGAGAAAAAGGGGGGAGTCCCTGAGGTGTCACCTCCACTTTTTACTCTAAGATTATTGTGACGATATCAGTGTTAAAGGCACATGCGCGCAATCCGACAACATTCCTAATTTAACACTAATTCGCTCATGGTTAAATGGGCAGATCCATTCCCTGATACTTATTGAGAAAAAAAAATGATGCAAATATGCTGGCTACAAATTTCCCCTATCTACTCACCATCTTCCCATTCAGTACCAATTTGTAATGCCGGCTGGGTGGTGCAGTTTTTCTAATGACACGGATGAAACTGAATGTGATTTATTCCTGTTGATGGGAGGAGATGCACAAGGCGTGTCAGTCTGTTCTGGCATCAGCGCCCAGAAAAGAAAAAAAAGGCATCCAAAATCTGAGCCCTGTGGTGCTGCCAGCATCTGTGGATGCATGCGCATTCACACGTCCTTGCCTTCCTTGAGTCTGTATGTTACACTGATTTCTATTACATTTGATAGAAGGTGATAGAAAGATGAGGGGAAATCCCCAAACCGGAGCAATTCTTTCATTTCTCATTCCCTTGAGGTTTTAGTCGTGTAGTCTTGTCTGACTCAGTGGTTCTCAACATGGTATGAAAATAATTTTTCCATCAGTTGAAAAATATCCTGCAATATTAAATAAAATTGCACATGTGCAGATGGGGAATGCTTAGCAAATATAGCATATTAAGTCACTTGTGTGAGACAACCTCAATTCAATTCTTTCCAACAGTCCAGCAGCTGGTCTTCTCATCTCCCAGATGTTGTTTAAAAAAAAACAACAACAACAACAACAATGGCCCTGCTCCAACTTTTTTGAGATATGTTACTGCCATCAAAATCAACATGAGCGAATGTTTTTCTTAACATGATAATTTTCTCCACGTTAAACATAATACTGTGAATAAAATGCAAGTTTATAAGATTTGCAAGTCAGTTCATTCTGTTTTAATTGGCATTTTGGGCAGTGAGAGTGGGAACTAGATTTATTTTATTTTGCAAAGGAATCCCTGCCCTAAAATGTTTGAGGAGCCCTGGTCTTAGCATGCAAAATGTAAAATGAGAATCCACCCTTACATGAAGCTCAGGCATAACTGAACCTCCTTTTTGATTTTTGTTCTTATTTAACTAGACAGCATTTAATATATTGGACTTTTATAAGGCAACTGGAGAAGCGGGTGTTAAAAATGATTGACCAAAGGTAATATAGAGATATGAATTATTTTGTGATACTAGTGAAACAGCTGTGTCAACCATCTATGTGCATGCAACATTGTTTTCTAATTGTTCTGACTTACTGTTGTTATTCAGTTAGAATACGTAGTACAGGACGTTACATTCAAAGTGGGCATGATGTAACGTGATTACATCTCAGTTATAACAGACACACACAAACACACTGGTCAAATATCGTAATGAGCTGTCTTTCCTCTTTAAGCTGAGATGTAACCGCAGCTGTGTAAATCAAATACAAATGTCACAGATAACGTTCCTGCAGTGAATGTGGGTTTATCCGTCTGTGTGTGGCTCAGTCAGCCTGGAGCCTTGCCTCTCTTTTTCTTTCTTTCCTTTTGTCCTCAAAGCTGATAGAAGCTTGGAGCACCGCCACAGCAATATGGTACTCCGAAATGCATATTCTCATTTTCCAGAAAAGATTTGGATGCACTAAAAAATAAACAAAAAAAGAAAAGAAAAGTCCTCTCCCTC